AGGCTCCTGCCCAAACTTATCCAGTTAGAAACTCTGGAGGTTGAGTAGGAAAAGCTTTGAGTCTGGTGCAGTTAAAGTTTGAAAATCAATACTAGAAAGTTACTTGAACTTGGCCGGTGTGGCTCCATGGTTGAGCGTAAACCCATGAACCAGGAGATCTAACTCAGTTTGAGTCCAGTCAGGGCACATGCCTGGGTGGCAGGCTCGCTCCCCAGTAGGGGGCGTGCAGGAGACCGCTCATCAATGATTCCCTCTCATCACTGATGTTTCTCTCTCCCGCTCTCTTCCTCTCTCTGAAATCAATAAAAACATACTTAAAAAAAAGAAAGAAAGTTACTTGAGCATCTGATGGAGCTATTTTATTATTACAAATATAATTTCAGGCTGGTATACAATTGAAGGAAGATAAGAAAAAAGGATTATGACAGAACGAAAGAGAGCGTTCTCCTTATCTCATATCTTAAAATAAATTACAGAGAAATAAAAAGTTAAAGTAAAAAATGGGTATAAGAACATTATTCCAACATAAAGCCAATAATAGAACCTGAAAAGGGAAAGATTAATAGGCTTGCTTTTGCAACAATTTAAAATGTTTGTAACATTAACAAAATTAAAAAGAAAACAAACTTTAACCTGGACAGGTTGCTCAGTTGGTTAGAATGTTGTCCCCATAGGCTAAGATTGTGGGTTCGATCCCCGGTCAGGGCACATACAGGAATCAACCAATGAGTGCGTAAATAAGTGGAACAACAAATCAATGTCTCTCTCTCTCTCTCTCTCCTTCTCTCTCTCAAAGTCAATAAATAAAAAAAAGAAAACTAGAAAGAAATATACACAACATATATCTCAGACAAAAAGCTAAAATGTTTAATTTTTAAAAAACTAGAAAAATGGACAAAGGACACAAACTGAAAATTCACACACACAAAAATACAATGGCAATAAACACATGAGAAAATATTCAAGTTCACAAAAAACAAGAAATACAAATTAAAATGGAATAGTATATTTTACTTAGCAAATTGACAGAGCATTTCCTTTTGTCTTCACCCAAGGAGTGAGGATTTTTTTCCATTGCTTTTTATTTTTTTTAAATATATTTTCTTTACTTCAGAGAGGAAAGTGGAGGGAGAGAGAGACAGAAACATCAATGATGAGAGAGAATCATTGATCAGCTGCCTCCTGCACACCCCACACTGGAGATCAAGCCCGCAATCTGGGTGTGTGCCTTGACTGGGAATCGAACCATGACCTCCTGGTTCATAGGTAGGGTCGATGCTCAACCCCTGAGCAACACCAGCCAGGGCAGCAGAGCATTTTTAGAGATGGAAGCAACTTAATTGTCCACTATCTTACTGTATGGTCACTTATATTGGAATCCCAAGGTGCAATTAGCATTAAGAGCATAATGAATGTTCATGCTATGTGAAAAGGGGGGGTGGGGGGTGGGGCTGTTACAAAATAATATAAACCAATAAAATCTTAATTAAAAAACAAATCTATATGGATAAAGATATAAAAATAAGGGAAACATATTGAGCAAAATGTTTCCAGTGGTTAGCTCTGGGTTGTAGAATTGATACATTTTTCTTTTGTTCTTCATATACCTCTTTTTTTGTTCTTCATATCCTTCCATTGTCTCCATTATGTGATAACCATGCATCCTTTTTCTAATCAGGAAAAAAATAAGCTGTACTACAAAGTGTTGCCAAAAGTTGAAAGAATGATGATTCAATATCCCCTCAGTCAAAGTTATAACAGAATATAACAAAATACACTGAGTGGTCAGATTATTATGACCACCCCATCAGTACTTCATTGACACTTCCAAAAATACTGAATATTGAAAACTTCCTAAGCAAATACTCTTAAGGATTTATTATTATTATTATTATTATTATTATTTGCATAACTAATTCACTTCATTGTACTGATGGAGTGGTCATAATAATCTGGCCACTCAGTGTATATTCTAAAATAGAATATAGAAAAGAGTAACAAACTGGTATTCTTGAGATTTGAGGGCTTTATCCTCACAGCCACCATCCTCAAGAGGAAGAATAGAAAAAGGAAGATTTAAAAATCAAACTGAAAAACATACAATCACAGAATCTCAAGTTGCCTCTGATTCATGATTATGTTTAATGACATGTAAACACTGGGATGCCCTTATTTACTTTGTTGGGTAAATAGTCTGGGCTTGTTTGTTTAAATAATGAGGGTGGTGTTTGCTCTCCCTATGAAACGTATGTTTTGGAATAAAACTTCAACCTTAGAATGTGAAGGTTTTGTTTGGCATTGGCTACAATGAGCAAACAGTAATTTAAAATGGTCCCATAACACCCCCTTGTGGCTTCCACTGTATCAGATTGGGCAACAACCCAACCAGCTAAGAGGAGGGAGTGATACATACATACTTCTCTTTATAAATTCAGCAAACATGTGTGCATTCCCTATTCTGTGCCAGGTACTAACTATACTTGGATAAAATGCCATTAAATCTCTTCCTACTGCATTCAGGCCTTGCCAGCATGCGTACATATTCATTTATTTAGGCTGAGCACACATAAAAGTTATGAGGCCATAAGAGTTGAGCCTCACAAACTAGTGTTTTGCAACTATGGCTTTACCTCCTGGGAGATAGTTGAAGGGATTCTGGAGTAAGGTATGTGATTATTACTATCCAGCTGTTGGTTGGTACCTATGTGGCAATCAGAAAAAGCACTGTGGATGTGGATGTGGATAAAATGAGCCGGATTACAGCCCTGACTATCCCAGTGACCTTGAGCACCTGATAATCCACATGGGAATCATTCATCCACTTAACAATTTGGTGCTGAGGCTACAAAGATGAGTAAGACCTAGATCCTAGACCAGCCGTGGGCAAACTACGGCCCGCAGGCCGAATCCGGCCCGTTTAAAATGAATAAAACTAAAAAAAAAAAAAAAAGACCGTACCCTTTTATGTAATGATGTTTACTTTGAATTTATATTAGTTCACACAAACACTCCATCCATGCTTTTGTTCCGACCCTCTGGTCCAGTTTAAGAACCCATTGTGGCCCTCGAGTCAAAAAGTTTGCCCACCCCTGTCCTAGACTCAACCTTGGCTGCATTTAAAAAGATTCCCAGGTGATTCTAATGTGCAGCCAAGGTTGAGAACCACTGCTCTAGACCCTCATAAATTCACTCTTCTAATTTGTAAATTGGAACTAACCATCTCAACTTGTCAAAAAGATTAAATATATGGCCACTCTTGGACAGAAATCTTCATTTTAAAAAAAATATTTTTAGACCTGGCCAGTTTGGCTCAGGGGAGAGGGCAATGGCCCATATGACTGAAGGGTCCCAGATTTGATTCAGGTCAAGGGCAGGTTCCTCAGTTGCAGGCTCCATCCTGGCCCTGGCCTGGGGCCCCTGTGGGAGGCAACCAATCTATGTCACTCTCCCTCTCCCTTCCACTCTCTGTGAAAATCAATGGGAAAATATCCTCAGGTGAGGATTACAACAACAAAACAAAATCAAAAAAATCCCCTGTTTTTATTGATTTCAGGAGAGGGAGAGATACAAACATCAATGATGAGGATCATCTATCACCTGCCTCCTGGCAGGTCCCCTACTGGGAATCCAGCCCCCAGCCCCTACTGGGGATGGAGCCTGCAACCTGGGCATGTGCTCTGACCCGGAATCTAGCCACCATCTCCCGGTTCATGGGGCATGGTTCATGGGGCAACGCTCAACCACTGAACCACTCCAGCCGGGCCAGACATCTTCATTTTCGAACCCGTATCCACAAGTTTGTTTGTGCTTATTTAGTTTAATCCTCTCTATATCTGCTCATAGAAACTAAGGAAAAGGAATCAAATCATCTAATCCAGTGATGGCGAACCTTTTGAGCTCGGCGTGCCAGCATTTTGAAAAACCCTAACTTAACTCTGGTGCCTGTCACATATAGAATTTTTTTATATTTGCAACCATAGTAAAACAAAGATTTATATTTTTTATATTTATTTTATATATTTAAATGCCATTTAACAAAGAAAAATCAACCAAAAAGATGAGTTCCCGTGTCATAGGTTCGCCACCACTGATCCAATCCCTATAATTGCATGTTTATTTCCACCAAGATTTCGGGAGCCAAGGGATCCGGCTGCAGCCTAATAATAACTCGCGATCTTCCAGAGTTTCACCCCCTGCCGGGCCGGGGACAGCATTCCAGCCCCGTGAGGCTCGCCGACCAACGTCAGTAACACCGTGACGCGGGGGTTGCCCTTTCCGTTGTTCCCCGCGGGCTGCTGCCACCCGCAGGGGTTTGCAGTGCCACGTGCCCAGCCTCACCCGCGCAGGATCCTTCTCGCACGTCCCCGGGGGAGGCGGTGGGCAAGGGCTGCTGGCGCGATGCGCTTCTCCCACTTTTCTGGGGCGGATGGGCGGGAGTAAGGAGATTCCTTAAAAACGCAAAGGGATTGAAGGGTACTGAAAAAGTGAACAGCAAAAACTTCATTTCAGCGCTGTTTCAATGTGTTTTCAGTGTATTTATGTTACCCGTTGTGTATTAACGTTCTATGGTCTTGTAATTCAAGTGTTCCATATCCATCACATAAGAATTCCAGAGTTTAGT